GCTCCCAGGATGGCTTATCCATAGGAAATGCCGCTGCTGGGCCGGCTGCCAGCCGCTGCCCTTCTGGGCATTGAGGGCTGACTCCCTCCTGAAGTCTAAAGGCCTTGTCCTTGTCGCACAGCAATGAAAGCCAGCCAGAGGCAGCACTCAGCCCAGTCAGAGCAGGTTGTGGCCGGACCCTAACTGAATGGTTCTCATCAGCCATCTGTGCAGCGTCACCCAGAAATAGTCATGCCAGAGCTCCCCGGGGAGATCCCGCCTCAGCACAGGGTGTTCCAGTGAGAGCCAGGTCTTTGGACTCAGACCCTGGCTTTGCCACTTCCTAACTGATGGGGGGGAGGGAAGTTTTTTAAGCACTCTGAGCATCAGACTCCTCTTCTGTACAGATTGGGATAATAATACTTACCCCTTGTCATTTGGAGGATTCAGTGAACGAACAGGTGGCAAAAGCCTCGCCATATATTCTGCCTGGAACATGGTGAATACTTTATTAAACGGTTTTCTTCTGCTGCCACATCCCTGTCATGAAAACAGGTCTTTTCACAATTCTATACACCTAGTTCTGGAAAAAGTATGCCATCCCCTATTCACTTACTTGAAAAATCCTGTTTCTCTTGAGAGGAAACTCCTGGAGATCAAGAGCAGAAACCCTCACCAGGGTCGTTCCGAATCCTGATGAGATTCAGGTCTGTGCCCCCCTCACGTCCCCTGTGGCAGTGACAGACCGGGCCAGAAGGGAAGACCCTACACTCTCTGCCCTCAGACCATCTGCTAACTGCCGTCTTCTCTGGGTCTGTCTCCTCACTGGCCATGACCCATCACCCTCTCTTCTTGCTTCCCCTAGATGCCCCAGAAGCAGGGGCACTGTGGGGAGGGAGGCATGGGGGATGCCAAGCCAGCTTCTCAGGGGCTAGTCCCCACCTTCCCTCACTCAGTCCGTGCTGTGTCCCTTGGCCTCCCCCACCTCCCCCGTCCACTGGCGTCCAGGCAGGTCCTACAGCCCCGCCTGGGCTCTCAGAAGGCCTCATCAATCCCTCTTCACTTTTAGGCAGAGGGCCAGCGTTGGGCCTTCTGATCAAGGCCAGGGGGCAGTGGCCCGGCAGCCAGGCTGTTGGCCAGCAACAATAGGAATTCCTCCTGGGCTTTTCCAATGTCTTTTGTTGAAGAGAAAGAGTTCCTGGAAAAAATGCCCTAACATGCAGCCCGACGGGCACTCCTACTCCGCAGACCACAGTGGAGAGACTCCCACCAGTCACACCTGGCCTCCTGCCAGCCGTCCCGCACACACCTTGCCCCTCCACCAGGGTGCCTCATTTCCCTGGGCTCCCGCCCCACTCCACCCCAACAGGAGGGAAAAGGAGCAGGGTAGAGGGACAGCCCAGAAGGGACTCAAGCATCCTTATCTGACGAGGCCCTTAAGTGTCCTTCCCACTGAGGACCCCCAGGACTCGATTGGTCATTCTCTCTTTTGCTATCAACACCTTGGAGGGTAGGTGGGTGCCCTGGAGGCATCTACTCCCCAGGCACCCCACCTGCTCTGCAGGAAGCCGTTTGGAAAAAATCTCTTGTAGATGGGGCCCCTGCCTCTGACCTGGAGGCCCAGGGCTGCGGGGCACCTTTGCTGTAGTACCAGTCCTGGAGCTCAGGACACAGGCCTCCAGTGATGACACCTGCTCATTAGTCCCAGCCCTTCCTTTCCGGAGCCTGCTCTGGGATGGGTGAAGGCAGGCAGAGCTGTTCCTCCCTTCCTGACCCTGTGGTGAGAGGTGCTGACGAGTGTAGGCAGGTGGAGACAGGCCCACACAGCCATCAGAAAGGCCTGTGTGAAGCACAAGGGGGCCAGGAAATGTGGGGAAGAATCTAAAGATCTAGAAAAAGTTGGTAGTACAAGGGCATTTTTCCAATATGATAGAATCCTAGACTTAGGATGTGAAGCTTGATATTCTTTGGGAAAGCCTGGGAAGCATTCATTTATGAAAATTTGAGAACTTCACTGTTACGTGGCCTTTCTAAACACATCACCAGTGGGGACATTTTGGTGTGAGCAATCAATCCAGCAGAACCTGACTCACCAAAATGGTGCAGGTGCAGCAAAGTTGCTTTGGGGGCTTTTATCTCCATTTTGGAAAAAAAAATGGAGAGTCAAGTGAAAGACTATTAAGTAATTGTAAGGACACCATCTTGGCTGATTCACATGCTGCCACTCCCTGGGAGCCAAGAGTCAAGGCAGAAATGGCCTCGGTGACACCACCGCTGCTGCATGGATGAAATTACAGACACGTCACTCTCGGGGCTTGAGCTGGAACGGCCCGCGTGGGCAGTGCAGGGAACACCATGGGCCTGTGAGGAGGAAAGCTGAGCTCCAATCCCGACTCGGCCTCTGATTTCCTCTGTGGCTTTGCTGAGTCACGTAATATCCGGGGGCTGCAGTTTTCTAACCTGCAGAATGTAGAGTGGGGCTGGTGATTCCAGAGTCCCTCTCAGCTCCGTGATTCACCGTACTCCAAGGAAGGGTCCAAGTTAGGGTGGCCAGAGCACAGAACCTCTTCAGATGTTCCTGCATTCACTCATTCATTCACAAAGCTTGCATGAGCACCTACTGTGTGCCAAAGCACCGGGCCGGGCTTCCTGCCCTTAAGAGCTCAGCCTAGTGGGATTAGCAGGGCAGTGACTCTGCTGGGACAAAGAAGGGCTCAGGGCACCTGACTGGCCCAAGAACACAGGCAGCGTCCCCTACAACAGGCAGCCAAGCCTCTGCGAGATTTCTTCCAACGGCTGGCAGATCCCCTCTCTTCTATAACTTGTGAGGAAACGGATCTAAATTGGCAGGTGTTTTTACCAAATCAAGAACCCATGCAATATGATAGAGGAATGAGTTCCAGTCTGTGCAGCCATCAGGGTTCAGAAGTTCATGAAGGCAAGAATAACAGAATCAACAGTGACTGATTATCATGCTCAGGAATTTAAAATGATGAGAAAAAGTGGCCAAGATGCTACGGTAACCCTTGGCTGGTTTTTGGCCTCCAGCACCCTTTCCTTTAGTAGCAGCACCCTGATCTTCCCCACCTCACGTGTAATGGGAACACTTGCCCAGTCTACCCTCCGCTGAGCCAAGCCAGAGGTGGGCAGGTAACCTGAGCCTCCAATCAGACACCTCCTGCTCTTGGACCAGGCAAGACGTGTTCTGTCCAGGAACGGGAAGCCCGGAGGCTGCAGAGTCAGGCTTGATGCATAGAGACCTCAGGGCTGCCTGGCTTCTGTCCCGAGCTTGATTCTCCAGACTTCTCATCAGTGCTAAGAGTTAGTTACCAAATGGCCGTCAAAAAATCCCTTTCCTGCTCAAGATGGCTAGCAGTTAGAGAACCTAACTGAGTTTTTACGATTAATGCCACGTGGTCCAATACTGTGCAGCTCAATCAAAATGTCTACATGAGCAGCCTGAGACCTGAGTGACTGGGGTCATCATTTGGAAGATTAACCTGCTTCCATTGGGGGTGGAAAAGAATGAGCCACAAACAGCACAGTCATGAAGCTGAAACTGAGAAGAACATTCGTGTTTATTGAGCTCTCACGGTGAGCAGTCCCTGTGCTAAGAGCTTTGTTCATTTATTTCCCACAACTCTGTAGGTGGGCGAAATCATCCCCATTTTATGGATGAGGAAATTGAGGTCCAGGTGGTTAAATAAAATGCCAAGGGTCATTCAACTGATGGACGGTAGAGCTGGGATGTGAACCCAGGACAAAAAACTCAGAGCCTGGGCTTTTAACCAAACACCACATTGCTTCCCTATGGAAGAAAATTCATGAAGGAGTTTCCAAAAATAATGTGAGCAGCCTAGTGCCACCTTGGATGTATGGGGCTGGGGGTGGGAAGCATCGAGGGAAATGGCAGATTTCATCTGGCTGTCAGCAGCAGTGGACACTGGAAGCAGTAGCTGGTCAGTCCAGGTGGTGCCTGCAGTGGGGCAGCTGTGACTTTGGCTCTAGGGTGAGCATTTCCAGGTTGATGGTCAAAGCCACAGAGAGGATGGTGTTCCAACAGGAGTGTGGGTGAGTTCAGAAGAGAGGAGCAGGGGGCCAAGACTGGGGGTGAGCACTGGGAGAAGAAAGGGAGCCAGGGAGGGGACAGGTGGGTTCCGAGACCCAGAGGGCCTTGTGGAAGACTGCGTTCCACCTGGCGCCCTTGGAGCTCAAGCTCCCACCTGTAAAGGCTCCTGTTTCTGATCAGGGCTGGAAAATAAAGGGTCCCTGCCAATCCCGGAAGCCGGCACCCACGCTGCCCAGCACTCCCATGTGCCACTGTCTCACCTTCGTGGCAAAACCAGCCGAGACCCCAAAAGGGGAGCTCAGCCAGCTGTGGCCTGGCAGCCAGGTCTGAATCCCACAGCTCTGGGGGTGGGGAGCCTTGGAGGTCTGGCTTCCCATGGGCTGAGGGAGGCTTGCACTGAGTCGAGCGGGCAGCCCTTCTCCTCCCTCCCCCTCAGGAAAGGAAGGCAGGAAAAAAATGTGTTTTTATAAATAGCTCCAGCCCCAGCTGATTTGTAAATTCAGTGGGTTTTTTGTGTCAATGACATCACCCTCCTCCCCATGGCAACCCCCGACGATATCAAAATTGCCAAGCAACGTTGAAGCAGCTCAGCGCCCCAAATGAGCAGGTCGCTGCCTGAGGATTTAATGGAGAAATCCCAAAGTGAGCTGGGGTGCTCAGTGGAGGAGGGGCACGCGGCGGCCGAGGAGGCTGGAGCCCGCCAGTGCTGCCTGCCAGCCGGGGCTCCTCAGCCGTGCTCCCTTTGACAGCCTGCTGCCGGCAGCAGGGGGGAGGGCACCGCTCCCGGCCTGATGTGCCAGGAGCCAGGAGCAGCCATCCAGGTGACTAAGCCGGCCCACGGGCACTGAGTCACCTGCTGGCCTGGAGGTTCCTTTCTTTGCTTTTGCATCTGATTATTTTGGGAGCTGGAAACTTGGAGCTGCACCTGGGTCCCGCCCCTTCTAGCCCTCCCCTCCCTACCTGGGGCTCTGAGAAAGATGGGATCTGCCACGAGTCTGCTGCCACCACCTAAGGATACAGAAGATGCTGTAGGGGCCCAAGGTGCCCAGGGAGAGACGCCAGCCAGCAAAGTGCAATAGCAGATATGGTGATGAGGCTGCCTGTCCTCTGGAGGTGTTGGAAGAGAAGGGGAGTCTGGTGCACGTCGACTGGAGGCCTCCTGGACTGGCTTTGAACTCACGTCCTCATGGATATTTCTGTAAATGAGCGGCTCCTAGGGTCAGAGTGGCATTTGGAGAGCGAGACTGGATTGGCTTAGGCTGGCCTGGGCAGGTAGGTGGCTCTGCGCTGGGTGTGGCCCGACGTGTGTATGAGAGAAGCAAGCGTGTG